TTATGTGTTTGTGCAATGATCTTGCATTAAGAAAACAAATTTTGATACTATTACTTGGTGCTTCATATATCGGTTTTATTGAAAGTGACAGYTGACCGTCAGTCCTCAAGCGATGCATTTCTTCTTGTACAGCATGATTAACAGCTATTTTGTCTTCACATAAGTCTGTAATGAATAGACCATCTATAGTTGTTACACGGCTTAATCCCACATAGTGAATATGAGGAATTGCTCTTCTAGTTTCAAGATTTACTACTATTCGAGATTCAGTATCACCTTGTGACCTATGAATAGTTTTAGCTGCAGCAGGTCTTAGAGGAAATTGTTTTCTAACAACCTGAACAGATCTTGTTCTGCCTACAGTAAACTGAGTAGTAACTGGTTTAATTGGTGTCCATGTTTGTTCAATGTCATTTATATACAAATGCCTATTGTCATGCCTTGTTTTTTTGTCCAACATCAGGATGGTCAAACTGCACCCATATAACACCAGCAGGTTTGTCTGTTTGTTGTATTTGTATTAATTTTACAACACTACCAGCACCATTAGTCATACCATCATCAGTTCTAGTGTTAAGTGATATCTCTGTTCTTTCACCTACTGCTATATGTAACACTGAATGGAGTTGTTTTGTTTTTCTAGGATCATTAGGTATTTGATTCAATATCTTAYTTCTAAGTTCCTGAGAATCAGCACCTATAACACTGTCATGTGCTCTTATAGCATATTTAGTACCTGGAAGAGCATTGTGGGCTATARCATTAAAATTATTCACTTTTGCATTTTGGATAAACAGATGTGGGGCATCTTTGGGATACTCATGACTGGTGACATCAATAACTCTTTGTTTTAATTTCTGGATATCTTCTTTAGTGTGATTGCCTTCTCTTAATCTATTCAATAATTCAGCAAAGTCTTTACTTTCTCTTTGTCTCATTATTTGTTTGAGCTCGAACATTTTAAAAAGTTMTTTCCATACATTAGGAGCAAGAACACCATATGCATCATTGTCCATGTCTTTGAATATATAACCATCCATTACCGGTTGTAATTGAAACAAATCTCCTATAGCAACAATACTAACACCACCAAATGGCAGTGAGCTTCCCTTGATGTCTTTAAGTCTATTATATATTTGCACAGTGAACATGGTGTTACCAACCATGGATATTTCATCAATAAATATCAATTTAACTCCCCCTATTTGGCATCTTAGACTGTTAAGTCTACTTGAATCAACCTTTTTGTAGTTCCTTAATGACTGACAGGCTGGTATTGCTAGTGCAGTATGTAGTGTTACCTTTTATATTGTAAGCTGCTTTACCAGTTGKAGCTAACATTAATACTTTTATCTCAGCAAAGTTAACACCAGCTCTTGTGTTGTAATACTTAATGGCTGCCTGATACAAGGCTTTAGTGACATGTGATTTACCCACACCAGCACCTCCACTGAGGAAACAGTAAAATGGATCATCAGATGTCTTTATCAAATGAAGTATATGATAAAAGAATTCTTTTTGTTCTTTGTTCAATGTTTGCACCATGTTTCGGTACTCATCATCTGGTAGTTCATTCATAATCAATGGTTCACTATTATCAACTGATGGTATACCTAAATCATCTGATAGATTATAATTCTCATTAAAATCAGGCTGTAAGTCGTGATTGCCTTCGGCCTCATCCTCACATTCTATACTTTGAGTGTATG